ATTATGAAACATTTTTAGGTTTTCTGACGTAATAGATATATAAGATAATGTTAGCCTTAAGTAACTGGTTTTTGCTTCGGTATCAAATGAACTGAAGAGACCCCATGATTCTTGAAATGAGGAGATTAAATCCTAGAATCTAGATTTTTCCAAAGGAATCTCGCTGTTCGTCAGAAGGGCCTTGACAGCTCAACTCGGGCTTTTCCCGCGACTAGCGCTAAGGCCGTCTCCTGCGGGACTCGGACCTTGAATCGTCGCGGGACGGTCAATCGCTTGAAGGGCAGAACGGAAGCTAACTGGAGTGAGTGATGTACGTGATAAAGGACCCTGCGATTCCCGATGAAGGCGGCTTTTTACCTTAGTCTGATTTTGCCGCGCGGCTGTTCACCTAGTTTTAAAAAGGTTATTTTTGATAAATCGGGACTTATTAAATGCATAATGCCTATCATCGATTTACAAGTATAACGGTTTTGAGATAGTAGGCAGAAAACGCTGCACGGGAAATTATTAATGAAACAGTCAGGTATCAAACTGGAATTTTCAAAGAAAATAAAACAATAATTCCGTACACAATATAGATAGTAGGTATCTATGAAACTGTGAAATTCATCAATTAGGTTTAGTAATGCACAACGATAACTTCCTCATTAGGATTTGTATAGGCGGTTAAAACCAAGATTCAGAATTTACTTGTTGAAGGCTAGGCAGAGATAGAGTATCGTGGGGTTGTATATGAAACGCGTTCTGTAATGAACGTTCTGATCAGCCTGAGTTCAAACCTAAGTGACGGAACATTTTCATGTCGGGAAGTGGAAGGGCTCTGCTGTTGTCCTGCCTAGAGCGATTGTTGGTGGAGCCTTGGGGTTTTAGTGGGTATTCACAATAGTGAGTCTTACATAACCCTTCTGTACTAAGCAGTCGCGCTGCCGAATGGTATGCGCAATGCATTTCGAAGTTAATATTCAAGAAAATTCCTGAACATAAGAGTATATCGATATTGCGTGCCAATCATATGCGTGATCGTTTAAACTAATGTAAACTGGTGTTTAATCAAATTACTTATTAATTAAATAATAATTACAAAGAAACGTTTTATGAATGTATGGAAAAATACAATATTGCACAATTTTTAATACCATAGTAAATTATGCAATTACAAAAAATTAATCTGTTGATATATTGTAAAAACAATTATGACAATTTAATCTCATTTTATTCAACATGGTCACCCTATATTAATTTTATACCTACCACATTATAATACAGTTGTTTACTTTTCACAGACATTAACGTTTCTCGACGCATCTAGAACGCACAGATTTAATGACCACAGGAATTAAAAAACCGCCAAAAGTGCCTTTATCGAATGTGATTGTGAATAAGTGAAGGGATTTTTATGCACGCAGAAAACAAGGTATGTAAGTGATTTCTCAATAAGATTTATAATGAAGGTCGTGTCTTCGTGGAAGCATTAGATTAAAAGAACTTCATAACGATCTCAATCAAAGACGAGTGTCCTCAAAGATAATAGGCTTTTAATTTGTTTTTTATTTAAATTTAGAAAAAGATGCAATGTATGGCTATTAAGTTATCGAAACCTAAACATTGCTTCTTTATTGGTGTAAGCTGTGGTAAACATTACAGCGTTCAAAATATATTATTATCCATAGACAAGTTCAAGCGTTTTCTAATTGCAGTATTTAAAATATTTGACGTAAAAACTCGTGCATTAGGTTCGATATTTTAATTAGTTTACGTTACGGAAAATAAATTCGTTGGGAAACTTTGTCGTGTTCACAAGGCCTATAAAAAATAGATGATTCAATTTATAAACTGTTTTTTATCGCATGGCAAGGACGGCGTAGATCACTGGATAATTATTTAAAATTAGACATATTTCATTGATATAAATCTTACACATAATAACGAGGTTCATTGTAAATCATCTGCACGCTATTTTCCTTCTGTGGTATGTCTACAGCAAGTCTAATAACAGCGGAAGTTTTTGGTTGAATTTACGCGTAACCTACTGCTTGAAACTTTACAATAATATATCTTATACATCAGAATAACACATAGGCTACAAATTATAAAGATATTGTGTGATTTGTCCAAAATATCAAGTAAGTAGGGAAAATCTACCAGCTGCGAGCTATTCTGGCGTGCGCTGCCAAAACCTCTAGAGTTACACATAAAAAATAATAACTAATAATAATAACCATAACTACAATAAAAATTACAGTAAACAAATATTATTTTAAACCTGCGCAGGCGAAGTCGCGGGCACTAGCTTGTATTTAGATATATAGAACTTCTCCACCGTAGCCGCTGCGTTGGTGGTTAGATTGATCTTTTTAGGTTGGAGAAAGAGAACTTCCACATAATCATGTGTGTGTATGTGAGTGTATATCAGTGTCAACGGTTATAACACTCTTTCTAATTAATTTGCGATATTTGGTTTAAAATAAGTGTTGTTTTATGATTTGCTATTTTAAAAGAGTACCGAGAGTTTTTTACGCCGGCTTTTTCTCTCGGCCTACACTCTCTGTCTTCTTTGCCGATGAGTAGGGATGTCTACCGATTCAAATTTAATGACGTGGAATAAGTGATACCTGTATCTTATATTCCATAATAAACATATTTTGTTTTTAAGTCCCTATTGTTTTAAACAAATTTTACCACTTGCATAGTTCTGATCTTCAGTAAAGAGATAGGTAAACTTGGAAATAATCTTAAGTTATTCAATTTTCTTCCGTTTAATTAAATCGTTACTATTTTTCTACGTTAACCGTTTACGTCTGCATTTTAATAGACTAAACCAGAATACAGTTGACATTTAATTATTTTGCATATATTTGAATATTATCTATATTAAGTATTATTTTAAATTATTTGACACATTTTTTATGTGATATATAAATATTTTAACCCAGTCTCGATCACTGTGGAAATGGATGATATTTGAATATTGATTTTATTGCGTTATTAGCATTTTTAGCGTTATTTGTAATGACGAATGAATGAATTTCAAAACAGTCGGAGTTTAATAATTGTTGAATAAAGGCCGGGGGTTTCCAATATGCCTTTTTCCAATAAAGCCTTTAATTATTAATAGTGTACAAACATTTATTGTTCACATGTAAACATAATACGCACATAAATATACCTATGTGCTAAGTGCAACAGGCGGGCTTATTGCTTATCTGTTTCGGGTAATCGTAATAAGTATGTATAGTATTCAAAGTCAAATCATTTATTGATTTAGGTAACACAATGTACACTTATAAACGTCATAAAAGAAATATATATTAAATGCTTCTAATTTTATATATACTTAGTAATAAAACGTACCTACATCATCTATGCCCAAATAGGATTTTCTTTCTGTGACCAAAGTTACCTTTATAGTAAGAGAAGAATAAGAATGAACAATCTTTTTAGTTTTTTAGTTTTAATTTCACTGACCATTACTATTGACAAAACTCTATGGCACGCTAGACAATCTACTTTTATTTTTTACACCTGTCAACACTGACAATGTTGTAACGTGGCTGTCAAAACGTGAATTCAAAATAGAAAAGTCTGTGTTCCATCTCATTCTTTTACACGTTCAATCCATTTGTCTTTTTCTACATAACGCCTCAACTTTTCGTATTACACATAACGCCTCAACTTTTCGTGTTACACATAACGCCTCAGCAAAAGTAAGCAAATCTCTCAAAAATAATGGAACACAAACGTATTAATTTTTTGTAGGAATCCTCGAAATGCATTTCGTTTCCAAGCATAGGCACTGTGTGGGTAATATGTGTAAAAAAGTAAACAATTACTGTTAACGTAATCACCAAATAAGAAAATCAAAGAAAATAAAGCCCCCCACCCCAGATAAGGAATACGAAGTTTAATACGCGGCGCAATGATTTTCAGAGTAGTTATTCTTCAAAATCTCTTATTTACCTGTCTATCTAACCAACTCATTATTTCGAACTTTAGTCACGAATAATTCGCGTCTGAAACTAAACTAGTGACCACGTAATTCAGACATGAGTTCCCGACGAAAAGACCCGAGTGTCTAATATTTTGTGATGTCAAGTACAGAAATCTCCAATGCCTTCTTAGTTATATGCCTAATGCCAGCTTTACCGGTACTATTATACACTATATTTGTTATTACCAAAGATACAATATTGTACGAGCAGTAACACTTATAATATTTACCTTTTAACAGCTTAATTATTTATATATAAGCCACTCATTAACTTAATAATAGTACACATAATATATTACTGAGGGCCAAAATAACTCCTTTAAATTACTGAAGGTAACTAGTTTCAATGATGATTTAACAATCTATTGCTATTTACTCTTGACCTGAATGTACAAATATAATAGAAATGGTATATAAAGGAAACACATTGAAATAAAATAAGAAACTTTATTATACATAGTAAAGTCGCGTTTCGTTTGTTTGTGATTGGTGAATAGCAGCTAAAACACGCGTTGACAGGCGACATGTTACGTATATGCATATGTCCAATCACAATTGAACGAATTCGTCTTTCGAAAAACATACAATAACTTACTTACTTTCTACCTCCCTGGTAGATTCAGTTTAATATAAAGGGATATTTTTTAAAAACAGTGATGTTTGGGGTTTCCCCCCAAATTATGGAGTCTAGAGTGATTTTTAGGGGTGCATTTATTTAGGAGGTACTTTAAATTTTTTTTAAATGCACGATTCTGTACAATTTATATTAAAGCCACGAACCCAACCAACAAACTAAACTCCAACCGTAGCTATAACTGAAATAGCAAAATGCTATAATACTCCAAGATCGAAAAAACAGCTATTTTATACTACTAGAATATATTTATTATTACCTCTTAAACCGAGTGAACTTTAGGGGTTTTTAATCAATATTTAGGGGCATTTGAAGTTAGTCCTATAGGGAACATTCTGTGGTTTATGGAATCACTGTGTTATACATTCTTTGCAGAAGATGACTCGAGGTCTATCCACGCTAGCAGTGGAACTCTTCGATGCAGGCGCAGTGAGACTTGGTGATATAGAGGCGAAGCTGGGTCGACACACTCCTATATACTTCGACTTAAGAGTCATCGTTTCTCATCCTAGAATGATGGTCAGTGATCCTGCCAATTTATATAAGCCTAATAGATTCCTAAGTCTTAGGGATCGTTCAGTATTACGTCACGCAATTTTTGGAGATTATTGACACACCCCCAAGTAACGCGCCGTAATGTTTTTCTGTACCTAGTGACTCTTAATACATAAAAGTTACCATTATGTGGTGTAAAGTACTGGAAAGTCGAAAATAATATTAACAATAACGCGTAATTCAATCCCCGCCCCGCATCGTAACGTTTTACAAAAGGACCCCCCCCTTCCAAAATTCGTTACGTGATACTTGAACGCGCGCTTAGTGGAAGTGTCCACCACTTGACTCTTAAGCGTCTACTGTTTATGCACAAGCAATAAATATCTTTTAAACATATACGTAGCCTTATTTGTATTACAAAAAAGGGTGCGTGTACTTATGTACGCGCGTAAGAAGTTATACTTCTTTGGCATTATTAAAAATAGTTTTTGATTGCATGCAAATAATTAATTACAATTAAATAATCAAAGACTGGAAAAGGAGTCATTAAAGTCAATAAAGTTCAGTTTACATTTGAAAAATTAATTAAATAAAATTTATTATTATTCTCTTACATTAAACAAAAAAACACTATTTATCTTTAAAACATTTTTATTTCATTATACTATTTATTTTTAAGTGACCTAATGTCTTCATCAGAATTTCGGTTTGTAATTTTAAATTAATCATACTTGGTTGTGCATCTACGAGGCTTCTCCAAAACTACTTGCTTTCTGCAACAAAAAGAGAATATTAATTTAAGCTCTGTCCATGCAAAACTTAAAAATTTTTATAATTCATATTATAAATTTTTTAACACATTTATATTAATATAATTATATAAATGTGTTAATAATATAATTTGTAGCACATGCTACAGACCTGGATAGCAACTTTCTTTATTCTATTTAGAGATAGAGATAATTTAAATATAATACGGTGTCTTCCTTGTAGGTTTCTTTGGAGTTGTTTGGGGATTCTGTTGTTCAGTTCGACATGATTTTCTTTAACCTTTTTTAATCCTACAAAATAATGAAATTGTTAAGTTATGTTGTCACTGTTGTGCACACCTTTGTTTGGCTTTTTAGTATTCAAGTTATGTCAAAACTGATTTATTACCTTGTCATTGTTGGCTTTATTTGCTTTTGGGATATCAATTGTTTCCAAAATGATTTTATTTGTAATAACCTGAAATATATAAATAACATCTATTAATTTAAGTACATGGTGAGTGGTTCGCACTCAGGTATAAGGTGTATTATACCCACTGTCCATTATAAGGGGAATGGGCCACTTCTGGCAGGACAGAGTTTCGGTACTACAAGTGCAACATGGATGTTTTGAGGTATTACAATATCTCTAACTACCCTGTAGGGGAATAAAGAATGTTGTAAGCATATGCCTATGCTTGAAAGGTTGAACCTTGAACATCACCATACATCATATTTATAATTAACATTCCTACCTCGACACCACACAATCAAATTCATTGAAATCTACTTCAAACCATTGTGTCTCGAGAAGGTGATGGTGGCTTTGTTCCACCTCCAGTTTTTGATGTTTCACGGCGATAAGATGACAACTCTTTTTTGTATTCAATTTAGTGCACTTCCACTGATTCATCAATTGTTTTTTGTCTCTTGTCCTTATATTTGCTAGATTAAATCTGATGTTTTGATTAAATAATGTGGTCATTTTTTGAGATGCAGGTACTTATTAAAATGTTTACTTCTCTGTTATATCGCTCCAAGCCTTCATTTTCTCCTTATTAGTATTCGTGCTTAAATCTTTGTTCTCAATTATTGATATATAGGGTCGTAGAAATTTCTAAAAAGTGCTGTAACAAACGCAAAAACAAAAGCAATGAATAATGGTTCATGTTTCAGTTTTAATCAACAATAATACTCGAAATACATACGGAAGTTAACCTCAATTGTATTGAAGCACCAGGAAGGTAGCACAGTTTTTTCACAAAATTTTATATTAATTCACAAAATTTTGTATAATGAAAATAACTAGGTATATAAATATTAATTTTAAACAATAATTAAAACTCCTATATTTGTTTAAAAGGTAAATGTCATTGTCAGATGTCAATTGTCATGGTCATTCAAAATTCTTGTTAAGCTGCTAAGCTAGAATATGCGTGAAGTTAGCTTCACGCATATTCTATTTCTTTTACTTGTAGTTTGTCTTATTCCCATCTCGCTCGCGCACGCTATATCACACTGCCAATTTTGTGTCATAGGTGCGCGCGCAATCGTAAAATTTCACTCTCATCAATTTTTCATAACGCGCCAAAGAAGTACAACTTCAAAAATTAAATGTATTCTACGTTTAAAAGTATATTTATATGCAAAGGGTATGAAAGGTCAAGGGAAATTTCATACCTGAATCACGCCTTCACGGAAAGAAATTATTTGCCATTTTTTGTTTAGTTTTTCTATTCTTGTATTAATATTATTGACATCTAGGTTATTTACCTTATTCCGAACAAAACATTATTTAGTTTTTATTTAGAGTTTTAGTTTACTTTTTTTTGTTTGTTTTTAATGTTTTTTATTTTATTTTTTAGTTAATTAATTATATAACTTAAAGTACAGAAAACACAAAAAAACACTAAATGGTTTAACCTTGGTGCCTGAAGGCCGAAGGGCTACACAACAGTACAAATTTAATTTCCTTATAAACTAAAGCGTTTAAAAGAAACAAAATTATATTGCAACACACATAGAGAATATGTAATTAGTAAATTGTATAAAAATCGAAATTGTTTCACAATACTGTGCAAAGAAGTCGAAAAGTATATTTACGTAGATGATCTCATGAATAAGTAATAAATCAGAGATTTATTAGTTTTGATAGATCATTAGTCAACGAGATAAAATAATTATTTTATTACATACAGAAGTTATCGAAGTGAGATAACGGGTAAAAGCAGTCATTGCTTAAGAAATATTTTCTTTTTGACAAAATATATACGATATTTACCACGATTTCTGGCGTACTTTGAGGGACTGGAAATCAATCAGACAGATAAATGCGTTGCCAGCCTATGAAGATGTGGTTTTGGAAAGGCCATATATCGTATTAGTTTGAAAGTTATATACCGCTAAGTAGCCGATTTGACAAAGATTTTTTTAAATTATTAATTGAACTCGAATAAAATCTTTTTGAAGTGAAACTTCTTTAGGCGCATGAGGGTAACATTTTTACGGATAACGCAATAATAATAATATAAGCGTCACGAAGATGTGTAACGTTTTTGTCGAAGAAAAGGGAGAGTGCGATTGAGACCGATTGAGAGAGTGAGAAGGGCGAATTACCTTATAGAAATTCTATTTTTAAAATTAAAATTTCGTAAAGAGAATTTATAGAATATTAGTATTTTATATTTTATGCAAAATAATTTATTGAAATCTCAAATGACGAATTGCAAATAAATATGCCACGTGTTTTTATTATCGAAGAAACAAATTTAAAAAATTAAATTTATAATCTGTATTAATTTTCGACACTTAATATTAGTGACAATTAAATTCATTAAATTCCTAACATATCTTTCTTTATAATATATTAAGTCTCGGAAATCTTTGGAATTAGTAATAACTAGGGATGCATCGATACGCTTTTTTGCCGATACGATACCGATACCGATACTCTTATAGAAATATCGCCGATTCCGATACCGATACCGATACTAATGCTTATTGAATTCAAATTAAATTAAGGTAAAATATATCAAGTTTGGTTAAAGTTTTTAATTTTTATTATAAAATATAAACAGTCACAAACTTTGAATAAGATTAAAGGTTTAGTAAATAAAATTAAGAATTAAGAGTAATAGTTAAATTAAAATAATATAAATAACTGTTAATAATTAAAATTAACATTGATAGGATTTTTGTAATTCTGTATTTTATTTAATTTGGTACTGAAAAAATACTACGCGCGATAACAGTTAAAAACCAACTAAAGTGTCTAGCGAAATGGAATACGCGGGGACTAAGCGGGTGTGAGGGGCATAGATAGTCCGTGCCTCGTTTCCCACGCCCCAGATCAAACAAGATGCGCGTTTATATTACTTTTTTTAAAGCGCGAAATTTGAAAACTATCATTGTATCGGCAATTAAAATATCGCCGATACCGATATATCGGAAAACCCAAAGTATCGCCGATATATCGGTATCGGATGCATCCCTAGTAATAACCGTGGAATAATATTTAGAGCATGCCAGTTTATGTAGTGTATGGGGTATACACAATCTTATCATAGTATAGGCAGCGGCACGTAAGTCTACCGCTGGCCGACACGTGGAGGGGATTGCTGCGCATGTGTCGTATCGGTGCGGGGGACGGAATGCGACTGGAGAGCCAATCGACGCTCTTCATTCCGCTAGCCCCCCTCAGGTACCTTATTTTTTACTTCTGCGCAATAACGGTCAGCGCTAGAGTTTCGTGCCGCTACTTGTAGTAATGGTATGATAAAAATATTACAGTCTTTTTATCGCAGCCCATGGACACCCTATTAGTGGTAGCATTGCCGGCCTTTGAGGGAGGAGACCCCCACCGGGAGTCAATTCCACAGTTCGTTAGTTCGCAAAAGAAAATGTCCAGCCATGAAGATTGAAGATGAAGTAAATGTAAATTTAGAATTTATTTAACATCTTTTCTGTTGACGTTCATAAGTGTACTTGTTTACCAATATGAATAAAGTTATTTTGAATTTGAAGGTTCTAGGAAAATCAATTGTACGGCAAATATATACACGCGTTCGCTTTTTTTGAAGTTTGCTCAAAAGATTACTTACTTTTTCAGAACGCGGTATCCCAACAACTCCTCACTTTAGCATCAAATATTGAACACGACATCTTGTGTGGCGTGCCGTACGCTGCACTACCCTTTGCCGCCGTCATGTCAGTCACAGGAAACACACCAATGATAATGAAGAGGAAAGAAACAAAACTGTATGCGACCAAAAAGATAATAGAGGGCGTTTATAACAGACACCAGAAATGCCTCGTGGTTGAAGATGTAGTGACCTCTGGCGGGAGTTTACTTGAAACAGTGTCAACGCTACGGAACGAAGGTTTGAGCGTAGATCACGCTGTGGTAGTGCTGGACCGAGAACAAGGTGGCGCCAGTGTGCTGAAGGCGAATGGAGTTAACGTGCATGCACTTTTCACTATGACAGATCTTGTAACAATTTTGAGAAACGCCGAGAGAATTAACGATGAAACTGTTGAAATTGTGTCCGATCATATCAAAGAGTGTCAATTTGGATTAAAAGAACCATTGCAAAGAATAACCGGAGATGAAAACGGCCCGTAAAACATTGATTGATGATTCAAGAAGACTGGTATCACAATCATTATATTTCTTACTAGGCGTTAACATAAACTGTTTGATAAAAAATATTTTATTTTATTATTAATTTATATTATTATATAACTGTTTAATAATTTAATAATATAAAGGTATTAATTTTTTGTAAGTACAAAAAATAAAAATGTTTTTAATCGCTTGTTTTATTTTGTATTTAAATTTGAGGGTTAAAAAAAAATCAGTGGTGCTACAACCTTTTTAGCTCTGAGCCTCAGATTATTGTCAATCTAATAGGCAAGTAGGCTCCTGTACCTGACACACGCCGTCGACACGCTTCACCGTTCGAGCGATTGTTAAAAGCGCACATAGAAAGAAAATTCAATGGTGCACAGCCGGGGATCGAACCTACGACCTCAGGGATGACAGTCGCATTTTTATTTTTTTACTTACTGACACATTTACTGCACAGACAGCATCTCAATCTGTAGGTACACAGATACTCTTTTACTCGTACTTTCAATATAGAAGTCATACTGCGACCGCAATGTATATTCCGCAACGATTTTTTAACTACTTAACTCTTTAGACTAGCGCAAGATACCCCGCAATTCAAGTTGTTAACAAAAGAAGAAGAATTGTGTTGAAGAATAAATTTAATTTAGTTCCTCAAAAATTTTAATAAGATCGTTTCTTGCGTTTCCCCACACAAGCTGCTCGAGTTCAATTTGTTTATAAAATTTTACCCATAGTAGTCCGGTCAAATTAGGTCAAAAAACAAGAGCGAAGCTGAAACTGAGTAAACTCGTTCAAAACACAATTAAAAACAACTTTTCAAAATTCCCCATCGTTACGACCCATGGAAAAAACTTACTCAAGGCCAAAGGTAATAAAAATGGGTTTTTCGCGATTTTCTTCAAAATGGCAAGTTTTATTGTAAAAAAACAAAAAAAAAACCTCTACAAATATTGTAGATCATACCTCAGAGGTGGCGTGGTAACGTGTGCATAAAATGACGCTTACAACTTTTCGAATCGTTTTATCTCAAAAGCGGTAGTTGTAGTAGAAATGAGTTCTCATTTTTATACGAAATACTAACGAATACAACAAAGTTGTTTTATTCTTTTGAAGAATGAGCAATTCGGCCTGCAGCTCTAATAGACCACAAGCCCATGAACCAAAAATACCTGTGAAATGACCCAACGTGAATTACGCTTAGAAGGCTGTTACTATATCTGAAAATAACTCTGAGCACTATGCCGTCATTTCTGAGCGGTACATGTGAGTACGTGAGTGAATGGAATTTCTCAGGTACGAATGAGCAATTTCGACTAACTATTAATGTACGGCTTTGTTATAAGTGTATAGATGATTAAAAATAAATGTCGAAAAACCTAGTACCGTACTAAAGTGATAGTGCCGGAAGTCGGTGCTAATTTTTAATTCGACGATAGTTGCAGAAGCAATATAGGTCATTTATTACTGTACGGCATTTGTGTAATTCCTTTTGGACACATATACAGATACTTTACCCGTAAACGCCGTACATAAATCCAGCGGAGCGGTCGAAAGCCAAGGGTCGCAACCCTACCCCTACACCCATATACCCTAAGGTCATTGTAAAATGTACGGCAACATGTTCAAAATATTATTTAACACGGACAATAATGTTTTATAATTATGCCGTCCAAAAATTATAGTTAATATTTGTGTAAATAAATATTTATCGAAATTTCAGGATTTACCGAGTTCTTACTGCTGTAAGATCAGATAATAATGTACGGCAACTTGTTTTTTTACATAATGTTACTAAATATTACCGTTGTACCTTATAGCCGTTTATTATAAATGGTAACAAATAAAAATTTTATGATAGAAAATATATGAAATTTCCGAAATTTAGATGATTTTTTAAATATTAGTAATATGAGGAGTAATATTTTCAACGATTATTGTTATTTTATATGTAACAAATATAAATAAACAAAAAAATCCAGATGCCGTACATTTTACTCCAGATTATGCTTTACAGCTGATAAAAACTTCGACAACGTTTTAGGTGTCCCTTAAGGTCATTAATAACTGTACGTAGCTGAGTATACTACCATAAGGCTGTAAAGTATATTTACAGCCTTATCGTACCAGCAGAGAGAGGTAAAGGAAAAATATTTTTAACAAAAATAAAAATATAATACAGGGCGTCCCAAAGTTATGGGACATGAAGGGAAAGAACCTTTTATATCGTAGATAGGGTATTTTACTAAAAGAAGACTTTATGTTATTTTTAAAAGTTAGTAATTCTGCATTCAAAGATTTTATAAAAATTACTTGCCTCGTCTGGAAATCGAACCGGTTTAAATGTAAAAAAAAAAACACCCCTACTTTTATGATGCCAATCGAAAGAATGCCCAAAACCTAATAACTTTTCTAAAGTAACATACTCGTAGGGGATTTTTTTAGGCCGAATACGATAGATAATGTTTTTAATTTGATTAAAAAGATATATTCACGCAGTTCTTTTCTTTTAAAACACTATGTTACTTAAGAAGAGTTATTAGTTTTTGGCCATTCTTTCGATTGGCATCATGAAAGTAGGGGTGTTTTTTTTTAACATTTAAGTCGGTTCGATTCCCAGACGAGGCAAGTAATTTTTAGACAATCTTTGAATGCAGAATTACTAACTTTTAAAAATAACATAAAGTCTTCTTTTAGTAAAATACCCTATCTAGGATATTTAAGGTACTTTCCCTTCATGTCCCATAACTTTGGGACGCCCTGTATTGGTAGGCGGTGGTATAATCTGCCATTTCACAGACTAGCGGACTATCGAAAGTGTACGGCATTTATCTTTTATTGAAGATTGTCTAAAGTATTAATAACCTATGTTATTGCCGTACAGATAAAAATCACCGGAAAATGACTCTTTTCGGAGGGAAGTAATTTACCCCATACACCTATGTGTTCCACAAAAAATGTACGGCATGCAGAAAAATGTTACCTATTTGTGAAGTACTCTTAAGATCATTTAATTTTATGTTGTTCTATATCATCATCACCTATATGCTAATCAGAGATATGTTGCGACCCTTGGCTTTCGACCGCTCCGCTGGAAATAAGTACGGCGTTTACGGGTAAAATATCTGTTTATGTGTCCAAAAGGAATTACACCAATGCCGTACAGTAATAAATGACCTATATTGCTTCTGCAACTATCGTCGAATTAAAAATTTGCACCGACTTCCGGCACCATCACTTTAGTACGGCACTAGGTTTTTCGACATTTATTTTTAATCATCTATACACTTATAACAAAGCCGTACATTAATAGTTAGTCGAAATTGCTCATTCGTGCCTGAGAAATTCCATTCACTCACGTACTCACATGTACCGCTCAGAAATGACGGCATAGTGCTCAGAGTTATTTTCTGATATAATAACAGCTTTCTAAGCGTAATTCACGTTGGGTCATTTCACAGGTATTTTTTGTTCATATTTTATTTTTTATGTTCGAGAAAACAGAAAGCAAATTGCGTCATGTAATATTAATGTTCTAAACTTTCAACTAGTGTCTTTTAATGTTGTCAGTCTTATTATAGTATAAAAAAATAGCTTAAGTCATTCAACCTACATAAAAAAAAAAAGGGTGCGTGTACTTATGTACGCGCGTAAGAAGTTATACTTCTTTGGCATTATTAAAAATAGTTTTTGATTGCATGCAAATAATTAATTACAATTAAATAATCAAAGACTGGAAAAGGAGTCATTAAAGTCAATAAAGTTCAGTTTACATTTGAAAAATTAATTAAATAAATATTTATTATTATTCTCTTACATTAAACAAATAAAACACTATTTATCTTTAAAACATTTTTATTTCATTATACTATTTATTTTTAAGTGACTCTAATGTCTTCATCAGAATTTCGGTTTGTAATTTTAAATTAATCATTACTTGGTTGTGCATCTACGAGGCTTCTCCAAAACTACTTGCTTTCTGCAACAAATAAGAGAATATTAATTTAAGCTCTGTCCATGCAAAACTTAAAATTTTTTATAATTCATATTATAAATTTTTTTAACACATTTATATTAATATAATTATATAAATGTGTTAATAATATAATTTGTAGCACATGCTACAGACCTGGATAGCAACTTTCTTTTATTCTATTTAGAGATAGAGATAATTTAAATATAATACCGGTGTCTTCCGTGTAGGTTTCTTTGGAGTTGTTTGGGGATTCTTGTTGTTCAGTTCGACATGATTTTCTTTAACCTTTCTTTAATCCTACAAAATAATGAAATTGTTAAGTTATGTTGTCACTGTTGTGCACACCTTTGTTTGGCTTTTTTAGTATTCAAGTTATGTCAAAACTGATTTATTACCTTGTCATTGTTGGCTTTATTTGCTTTTGGGATATCAATTGTTTCTAAAATGATTTTATTTGTAATAACCTGAAATATATAAATAACATCTATTAATTTAAGTATCATGGTGAGTGGTTCGCACTCAGGTATTAAGGTGTATTATACCCACTGTCCATTATAAGTGGGAATGGGCTCACTTCTGGCAGGACAGAGTTTCGGTACTACAAGTGCAACATGGATGTTTTGAGGTATTACAATATCTCTAACTACCCTGTAGGGGAATAAAGTAATGTTGTAAGCATATGCCTATGCTTGAAAGATTGAACCTTGAACATCACCATACATCATATTTATAATTAACATTCCTACCTCGACACCATCACAATCAAATTCATTGAAATCTACTTCAAACCATTGTGTCTCGAGAAGGTGATGGTGGCTTTGTTCCACCTCCAGTTTTTGATGTTTCACGGCGATAAGATGACAACTCTTTTTTTGTATTCAATTTAGTGCACTTCCACTGATTCATCAATTGTTTTTTGTCTCTTGTCCTTATATTTGCTAGATTAAATCTGATGTTTTGATTAAATAATGTGGTCATTTTTTTGAGATGCAGGTACTTATTAAAATGTTTACTTCTCTGTTATATCGCTCCAAGCCTTCATTTTCTCCTTATTAGTATTCGTGCTTAAATCTTTGTTCTCAATTATTGATATATAGGGTCGTAGAATATTTCTAAAAAGTTGCTGTAACAAACGCAATAAACAAAAGCAATGAATAATGGTTCATGTTTCAGTTTTAATCAACAATAATACTCGATAATACATACGGATAGTTAACCTCAATTGTATTGAAGCACTCAGGAAGGTTAGCACAGTTTTTTCACAAATATTTTATATTATTTCACAAATATTTTGTATAATGAAAATAACTAGGTATATAAATATTAATTTTAAACAATAATTAAAACTCCTATATTTGTTTAAAAGGTAAATGTCATTGTCAGATGTCAATTGTCATGGTCATTCAAAATTCTTGTTAAGCTGCTGCTAACTTCACGCATATTCTATTTCTTTTTACTTGTAGTTTGTCTTATTCCCATCTCGCTCGCGCACGCTATATCACACTGCCAATTTTGTGTCATAGGTGCGCGCGCAATCGTAAAATTTCACTCTCATCAATTTTTCATAACGCGCCTAAAGAAGTACAACTTCAAAAATATCTAAGTGATATCTTTAGCATTATAGTAACACTTTTTAGGCATGTTATAATGTTTATTACCCTGATACGTCATAAAAATGGATTGCTATAGTGTTAATCAGGGTACCGAAATAATAATTTAGAATCCCTTAATTACATGATACCCTACTCCACGTCTTTCATATTTTATCTGTCTCCAGTTAGATAATTTGCCAAGTGTAAGTATAAAATCATTATCACAATAAATGAGTTGGGGAATTCCCTGAATCATGTGCCCGAATAGAACGAACGGGACGTGCGACTTAAAGTCGATAAAACAACAATCCCTACAAAACGTGACGTCACTTGCACCAAGAGAACGACCTCTAGGCTGAAGGCTCTATTCATTACATTAGTAGTACTTGATTCCTGTCCCTGTGACGACGCGCGCTCATTTGCTAAATATTGTGTATTTTATTTTTGAATTAATTTAAACACCGGCGTGATCACGATCCCTTACAGGTACCAATAAAAAAAAAAAAAAAAAAAAAAAAAAAAAAAAAAAAAATTAGTTGTAGTGTGTATAGGAAAGGAATAATAAGGTAGATTACCTACTAAGGTAGGTATACTCCTACGCTAAGCGTGCCACTACATAAAAGTACCTAGTGAATTGAAACACGATATTATAATCTTATTTTTCGCACATTGTAATTAAAGGAACTTTTTGTAAATACGTTTTAAGGGCACTATTAAGTCCTAAATAAGCTCAATTGTTTTTTTCAGATGCCTTTTAAAATTGTGCAAACGACCGAAAGGGGATCAACTAAACTGTTTATTGTTCCAAGCGGGTGGGAAAGTCAGCGTCAACTGCGATATCCAAAAAGACCTAATGAGTCTGCATTAGTAAGGAATGAAATTTCCAAGCCTCGCGCAGATTGGTCAGTGTTGCCTTGTAAAGTCAAACGGACGGGTTTTTTAACCTATGAAGATGCTGACGAGGAATTGTCAATTATGATGCAGCATAGCGACACAGATACCGGCCCCACTATTTATGAAGCCCAAAGAGAAACCCAGCTCGCAATGTCAGGATTACCAGATTTCAATAACTTGGCCGACCAATCTTGAATGTACTACGGAACCACTTGCTAGAACTTCTTGAACGGTGCTTGGCTCATACACAACTACCGATTGTTCTGTATTTTGTGTATCAAGAGTATCATTGTTTGGAACACGTTTTTCATTACTTAAACCAGATATAAAATTTGAGTATTCCATTTTTATCTTTCTCTTTACTCCACCTGTTCTCTTAGTCTTTTTCCACTGTTTATTCATGACAACAACGTGACACGTGCGACATAAAATTACTAATGAGTATATATATATACTAACGCACAAATGAAAATAATCATACTACTCATGGTTTTATGGCCAAATTATGACCTATAGTAATAAAATTAAATTTTTATTTATCTAAATAGTGCTGAAAGCTTTAAAGTAACAATAAAGTAAGAAGATAACAGAGCTAAAACTTTAGTAAATGTTTGGCTAATGCTTAGCTGTAAATAAGCATAAGAAAAGATTATAAAAATGCGTTTAATCTTAAAAATGTGTTAATAAATCTAAGTTCACTATAAAGTATTTCGACAACGTTTATTTAATGTATTAGGTTTTCTTATTTACTAATATAAGGTCTTAACCTTTGTGTTAGTGTAAATGCTGTTTAAGGTGCTGTATATTAAAAGTAATTAATGTTTTAGTATGATTATAAGCCAATTAACCTTATTTTTTAGACCATACAATAGCTTCATGCATTATAAATTTTACCACATTCTACTGAAAAGCATTTAAACTAAGTCAAAACTGATTTAAAGTGATAGTCTGACTTTAAAACGTAAATCAGTCTTTACTTCAGTGAATATACAGATTACGTGTTACTTGGGAATGGAGTGGAGTAACGATTTGAGTATGATGTTTATAGAATTTTTATCGAATGGAACCAATCATTTGGAATTCAAAAGTGGGATCGGATAATCATCATGACGCATTGTCAACGCCTGTTGGGTTAGCCCCCATTCACTCTCCACAAGAATTCTCGGGGCCGAGTATGGACGGCGCGCTCGACTCGCGAGAGCTCCAAAAGATCCAATAATTGTTTATTGTTTTAAAATTCTGTTTATATTAACATTTTTTGCTTATCCGATCCCACTTTTGAATTCCAAATGATTGGTTCCATTCGATAAAAATTCTATAAACATCATACTCAAATCGTTACTCCACTCCATTCCCAAGTAACACGTAATCTGTATATTCACTGAAGTAAAGACTGATTTACGTTTTAAAGTCAGACTATCACTTTAAATCAGTTTTGAAAATGTTAATATAAACAGAATTTTAAAACAATAAACAATTATTGGATCTTTTGGAGCTCTCGCGAGTCGAGCGCGCCGTCCATACTCGGCCCCGAGAATTCTTGTGGAGAGTGAATGGGGGCTAACCCAACAGGCGTTGACAATGCGTCATGATGAGTCCATTTCATAAATCACAATCAAACGTCTCACGTCTTTCCCCTGACGTTTCTCACACGCTGTGTATTGTCAAGTAAATTCACTTCACTGAACGACATAGTTGTGGCTTTTAACCGTTTGTGTACGGTTTTAAATAATTTGCAATAGAAATTGGATTTGAGATATTATACGAGTATCTCTAGGGATAGGTAGGATAAGCTAATAAAATCAAAACAGTATCAAGCAAATAGTATAATTGTCAACTTTATAAATAGTTCTTAATTTAAGCGTTTGCCTGGATCCAACTTGTGTAACGGGACACGAGTGCATTAACACCTGGGTATCTTGGGTGGCCGCAGTCGATGTAGCCCCAAGAGCAAACACCAACAACGGCGTTGTTATGGAGGACGGGACCACCAGAGTCACCACCGCACTGGTCGCGGCCACCGACGTCCAAGATACCAACACACAACATGTTAGCGTTTACCACGTTGTTGATTTCTCTGTAGCGGTTGATGCAAGTTTGAAGATTCACGGTGTACAGTTGTACCTCGCGGAGTTGGTTTGATGCGGGTCCCCACGGCTAAAAATACACATTTATAGATGATTCTTAACTTATAATAAAATAATTTTGGATCATACAATAAATTTATACTAATAAAAACACAGTAGTTGATCGACAAACGTTATAATTTTCAGTACAGTCAGTTGTATTAAACTTACGGAAGTCCATCCCCAGCCGATAGCCCAGACAGGTGCGTTGTCAGGAAGCCAGTAGTTGGAGCTGGCAATAGATCCTCTAGCCACATTGGCATTGAAGTTGAAAGCTGAGTTGGAGCGAATAACTGCCACGTCATTGTCAAATAACCTATGGTTGTACTGAGGGTGCATTATGATAGCGTTGGTGTGGTGCACTACACCACCATTGTTACTGTTAGTTGAACCAACACGCATTTGCCATTGCCGTATAGTATCTCCGCTGAAAAAAGTTATTTTAATAATCGACCATGCGTCGGGTTGTTTCTCTTCCTAAAATATGGCGAAGGGGCCGATGGCTGGCCATGCGTTATACTCGTGAACGGGTGCTGCTTGTGATGACTGGTCGAACTTGAATACGTGTATGCGGTGATGTTAGTTATTTCGACTATGTATTTGCGTGTTGTTCCCACGAGAATACTGCGTGCTCCTATTTCACGATGCCTACTGCTGTGGAGGACAAATCTTTGTTTCTATTTTTTTTTATTAATTAATTATTAAATCCTTAAGATGTCATGTGGAACATCGTGAACTAGTTGCTGCTTACAAACATTGTGTAAAACAAAAACTTAGCGATTAACAAGAGTGGCGGAGAGTTTATAGCCAGTTCTTCTCATCCCGCCTTTGATTTGAGATCTGGCAGTAAATGTAAAATTAGAAGCATTTAGCATTTAATATGTATTTCTTTATTGATGTTCAGAAGTGTACATTGTGTTACCTAAATGAATAAATGATTTTGAATTGTGACTTTTTTTTACTTTGATACTTCTGGAAGAGATCACTTGTAAGCAACTATTGGACCGATGATGATAAAGATGGACACTACTTACATGAAGCAATGGGCAGCGGATAACACAGATCGGTTGTTTATGATGGTTCCGCCACAGGCCTGGGAGTGTACACCACCGCCGGTTCGCGAATACAACATTGCGACGGCATATGGGTATTTGCTAATGTTTGTCACCGAGCCACCCACGATCCTTTGGAAACGCGGCTGCACGGCTGTAAAGGAGTTAAACTATTTACTTCTGGATCTGGTATTTCTGATCCGTAGTAGTTTATACAGTATACCTCAATACACATATGTATTATATTTGTTACTGTGATAGTAGTCGGTCGTTGTTGTCACTAATATTATGTATCCTACTTGATGGTAAATCAACGTAAAAACATTTAATAAATCGATGAACGCCGCCTGCACGCACGAAAAAGCATGACTCATTGTCCCGTTACGCTCATTTTACGCTTGCGCCGCATCTATCTCTTTACCACTCGATTGGCCTATGCGTCCGAGGATTCACTCCTTCTTTGTATTCATACAAAATATTGATAATTCAATAACAATGTTTCAATTTTATTTATGGGCGGATGCCCTTTATCATAAAAATAAGCCATGTCTTCTTCTTCTTCTTAAGTTGTAATATGGGTAGGAACAAAATAATCACAAAAAGAAGAAAGAATCTCCCTTACAGCAATTCACTAAAATCTATTCACTAGTAATTAGGGAATCACTTAATCAATCACTTTTAATTAGTTTTGTAACAAAAAGACACAAGATTATTTGGAACAAAAGCGATTCGTCGCAGACGTGGTGCGCTCGCCGTTGACGTTCGAAAAACTCAACGAAATTCAACATGGCCGCGCTGACCATCGACACGACGCTCCGCCAGACTGACCATAGTCAAATCTCGTTCCAATAATTCTAGTATTTCTAAACAGATGGCGCTAGGAATGCGCCGTCACGGCCGGACTGACTTTCGACCGTCCTCGGGCGCATCAGATTGCAGTCCAGTAACAGTGACACAATCAATCGGACTGGTGTCAGTAAATCTACCCGCTCGCCCAACCTGACAAGCTATGACTACTAGACGTAATGGTACTGTCATACAACTATGACTGTCTCAGAATAAAAAAAAGCGTGTGTCCTTTCGACCACTCATGGACCGGAAGGACCCTTTTCTTAATCACTTAACAAACATTACACTCTCTATCGGCATATCCTATCCTTAGTATCAATTTTTCACACAGTATCAATTTGGACCGGACGGGTGTGTCCTTTCAACCAGCCACACGTGCATGGACCGGACGACACTGTCCCTTCGACCAATTAACACTTAAGATTGGACCGGACGGGTGTGTCCTTTCGACCAGCCACTCGTGCATGGACCGGACGACACTGTCCCTTCGACCAATTAACACTTAAGATTGGACCGGACGGGTATGTCCTTTCGACCAGCCACACGTGCATGGCCCGGACGACACTGTCCCTTCGACCAATGAACACTTAAGATTGGACCGGATGAATGTGTCCCTTCGACCAGCCGCTATCAGCTGCGTGGCCCGGACGACATTATCCTTTCGACCAACGAACACTTAAGGTTGGACCGGATGAATGTGTCCCTACGACCAGCCGCTATCAGCTGCATGGCCCGGACGACATTATCCTTTCGACCACCTTCACACACACACACCACGTTATTCAATGACTCATCTCACTAATCGTGCCAACATAGTTAAGTAAACTTCAGCGCTTACAGATTACACATACCTATAAGTTACGGACTGTCTTGCTCTGCGTGAATTCGGATCTCATGCTCAAATGTTACTTAGGGTATCAGACTCCGCTGTAAGCGTGTCTGATCCTGCGGACAGTGTATCGGAGCCTGCAGTCAATATATCACAAACATTCGGTCTATCGAGGTGACCATTATCGAGTTCAACGTCTTTCGGTGCCGTCATGGCCTCCACTTCAGTCATCAAACTAGTAGATATTTCTACTAACCCGTCACGACCCCAAGGCACTAGACGCAAGCTCTCGTGCGCGTATTTGAAAGTACGATGTGAACCGGTTATGCTTTTCAACTCGTAACGGTCATTATCTAATACTGCGATTATTACATAAGGACCCCTAAACTTCCTATCAGTCAAAATATATGACAATAACCCGAACACCGGAGCTTTTCACGCAACATATATACCTCAACAATCAGACCTTGGAACGTGTCTCGAAAATACAATATCTAGGCACAGTGATTGATGAAAAGGGTGACCATAGCATCGAAATCCGCTGCAGTATTGATTAAGCTCGGAACGCCTTTTCAAAACTAAAAAAAAAAAAATATATATATATACATATATATATTTTGTGACAAGCGCCTAAATTTACAGCTTAGAACTCGTATTGCGCGATGTTACGTCTTCTCCGTGCTGCTCTACGGCGTAGAATCTTGGACGCTGACAGAGACTATGTCCAAAAAACTGGAAGCGTTTGAGATCTGGGTTTATCGACGTATGCTTAAAATATCTTGGACAGACCGCATACGAAATACAACCGTGCTGGACAGAATGCAGAAGAACAAAGAAGTGCTTATGACGGTTAAAAAAAGGAAATTTGAGTATTTCGCACATGTTTTACGCAACTCCAAAAAATATGAGCTCCTTCAACTAACCATACAAGGCAAAGTGGCAGGTAGAAGGAGACCTGGCCGCAGACGCACGTTCTAGTTGAAAAACTTGAGACAATGGTTTGGTCAAAGCACCAAGTTATTGTTTAGAAGCGCGGCATCCAAAATTAACATAGCCATGATGATCGCCAACCTTCGCAAGGAGATGGCAATATAAGAATAAGAAGAAACTTCCTATCTAACTCAGTTTGGTTGCTCTCGCAACTTTTGATGAATACGAAATCGGCCTTAGAAACATGGCACGTTACCCAACTCGTAAAGTATCGGATGCGGCTGCCCTTTGTTTGTTGGGGGGCACATCTTCCCACTGGTCTACGCCAATTCGCTGTCCTGAATCTGGACTTGAACGCAATTCTCGAACCTAGAGATTGAGAGCGGATACCGCTGGTTCAGTTGGAGCAAATTTGTGACTGTAGACCCAGTACTATTAAGCGCATGCACGTTACCCAACTCGTCACGCCACGGCCGGACGCTTTCAATCGCTAGCAAACTTTTCAAAGCGCGCATCACACGCTTGACTTGCCCGTTTGCCCCGCTGGAGCCAGTTGCTATAAAATGCAGCCCAATGTTACGCTCCGAACAAAAGCTCCTGAAATCCTGGCCAACGCAACACCTGCCTTGATCGGCTACTATGCGCTTAGGTGCTCCAAAAAGGCAAACGGCATTTTTAACGACTTGAACCGCACTAGCTGCGTCTAATATGCTCTAATAATACGCATTTAGTGAACGCATCAACAATTACCGAACAATACTCCTTACGGTCACTTTTTCTCCTTAGTTTGCGGGTGAAGTCGATATGAATCGTCTGCCACGGTACCGGAGCTTTTGGAATAGAATGTAGCTGCACAGGCTGAGCACCTGCGGGACCCTTCGATGACTTGCAGACAATGCAAGTCAACAATTTTTCTAACGCACTCGGATATCTGAGGGAACTAACACTGTTCGTACAGTCTGTCCAGTGTTCCGTCACCACCCAGACGCTGCAACTCGTTATGAACGTGACTGATCAAAGTCCATAGTAGGGAACGTGGGACGACTGGCAGCCATGATATAATCTTGTTTCCTCCTATAAAGAACGCCATTCCTAACGTCACATGTCTGACCAACCGGTTTAGGAAAATCGCCATTATTGTGCATGTTGATCAAGTCTTGGACCTCTGCATCACGTTTCCGTTCCACAGAAAGCCAGCGCCGATGTATTTCTACAAAATTTACTGTCTGAATTGTAGGTTTTTAAGAGACTTGTAACTCGGAAACTAAGCTATTGGGGTCCGGCAGGGGATTTCTAGAAAGGCAATCCGCGTGCTCCATGCCACGACCCTCGCGATATATGATATCAAAATCGTAGGCTTGTAAAAATGCCCACCAACGATGAACACGTGGGGTCAGGTCAGTTTTAGACTTCAAACATTAACTTGTTCCTCAAAATGAAAAAAAAATCAAATTATCATTATTAATTTTGACGCTCACACCGTTTTCTAAAATGTCCCTACCTATTATACCAGGGTCCGTAAGACATGAGTCTGGTACTACATGAAATGTCAAGAGTTTTATAAAATTTTCAAGATTAACCTCACTCGAAATCTGTGACGTAGATTTTATTTCATCACCACCAATGCCCGCAAGATACACAAGATCATTGCGCACAGTACTTGGGAACTTAGTAGAATAGCTCTCTTTTCTCAACGAGCAAGACGATCCGCTATCAAACAGAAAAAAAAAAAGAGACTGACTCACCAGATGACATCCTCAAGGTGCCCCTCGACAGCCACTGTTCGCAGATATTGACCTATTACCTTGCAGTAGATCCACCACCTTTTTCCTTTTCTTTACAAATTGTTGCTATGTGTCCAACTTGACCGCATATATAACAGGTTAAGGTAGAAGCTTTCTAGGGGGCACGTGTTGCAGTTGACGGATCTTGCTGCTTAGTCATCCTAGAAGAATCTTCTCGAAGACGCTTCTTACAGTCGGCTTGCCGGTGTCCGAGGATTTCACAAAAATGACATTTACCAGGAAACCTTGCGTCCACAATTCTAGGTCGCTTGAAATCAGCCTCTTGGATTTCAGTAACCCCCGATCTTCGCTTTAGGGAAATGCCTTTTAAGATTCTAAACAGCTGAGGTTTAATAGTGACAGTATATGCGTTTAGCTCACGGCATACCAAATCATCCTTCTGACATAAGACCGATATGACGTATCCAGTTATAAAATCTTGACATTCGGGTTTTAGGTATAGTTTCGATCATATTCCATAAGCGCAGGCCACTCTGCTGCAGTTTCTTTTGTTCCAAATTGAAAACGCAATATTTCATCAAAGAAGTCTTGAAATAATTTTGGTTTACAAAATCTAGCCATTAAACTTTGTTTTACATTCTCCCATGTCAGCTCATACAAATTTAACTTGCTCAAGCAAGCTGCGCGCCCTTTCAGTACACTGCTAAGAGCTAGAGAAATCTACGCCCTCTAAATGTTTAGTCAGTACTTTAAGCTCTGTAATTAAGACCAACCTTCTATATCCGCGTCTGCGTCTACCGGATTAAACTCTACGAATTTCACTGCACTATACTAGGCGTTAGCAGTTGCCACCGGTGGTTGCGTTGTCGCTAACATCCGAGTAAGTAAAATTTCCATATTACTTAACAACTTCAAGGCGCTATTTTAGTCAGGTGGTTGTTTTTGCACGGTCAGCAGTAGCGCATGGGATCCCACTTCTGATATGGGCGGATGCCCTTTATCATAAAAATAAGCCATGTCTTCTTCTTCTTCTTCTTAAGTTGTAATATGGAATCTCCCTTACAGCAATTCACTAAAATCTATTCACTAGTAATTAGGGAATCACTTAATCAATCACTTTTAATTAGTTTTGTAACAAAAAGACATCAGATTATTTGGAACAAAAGCGATTCGTCGCAGACGTGGTGCGCTCGCCGTTGACGTTCGAAAAACTCAACGAAATTCAACATGGCCGCGCTGACCATCGACACGACGCTCCGCCAGACTGACCATAGTCAAATCTCGTTCCAATAATTCTAGTATTTCTAAACAGATGGCGCTAGGAATGCGCCGTCATATTCATAAAAGTATGCAATAATTCATCAATGTTTTATTATGTCGTTGTCACCTTAAACTATCGTTAGTAAACGACTTTACAGACCACCAATTTTTAAGACTGCCAAGATATAATGACCCCCAAAAAGTTACCTAAGGTAGAGTTTATAGAGAGTAAATAACATATTGAACGCTATTTTAAAAATAATTCTAATTTATGATAAATGTAAAATAAAGCTGTTTACTATTTTAACGAAGAATTTTGAACTGTTATGCACATTAAGGCGTGCAATAACCTAGTTTAGGTGACAACCACAGCCGTCGATGTCCCAAAAAACAATGTGGTGATTTCCTTGCAAAAATGTTCGATGGTAGAAGGTCACGTTTTGGTAATCGACTTTGGTCTACAATCCTTGTATCTTGCCTTTGAATCAAGGTCTAGACGAGTGAGAGCGCGTGTGTTGCCGTGTAGTTTTGTAAGGCGGCAATCGGGCATGAGGCTCATCTGATGTTAAGTGATACCACCGCCCGTAGAAACTTGCATTGCCAGAAGGCGCGCAAGTGCCTTGCCGGTCTTATTTTATTACAATTATTATAAATAACAATAATAATAATGTTAAGGGAACTCAAATCTATTTAAACGAATGATCACCAATAACTTTGTAATAAGATCAATATTATGGTTGTCTATATATTATAAAGCACGTAATATTAGTAAATTGAATACTATAGCACAATTAATTTATTACCGAAAACTCAGAGAAAAGCAAAATATTCGGTAACAAGCCTGTAAGTAAGTACTAATTTGATTTTGACACATAGGAGATTGGAGACCGTCAAGCCAACTTCAATTGATGTCGATATTATTTTAAATTATAAGAATAATTTTTTATGTTATCCAATCGGCCTAAATTATGTTTTTGAGTGCAGTTTTTACGGGAATGTTATACTGAATCAATACACTAAAATATACTTCCACAAGTTGTCAAACCACTGTTTAGTATGTTTTTTACATATTTGAAAGACAAATAAGAGTATATAGATTGACAAATATGATTAAATGCTTACATTACAAATGTTCAAATGTTTAATTACGTTTTCTAATACAATTATGAAAACTTTACTTTATAGATGATTCATTGAAAGTAAATCTCTAATTATTTAATCCTGTTATCAGAGTAAATATAATTAAAATTTAATAAGAATAACTAATAACTTACCAGACACCGCGACCACGGCGAGGCTCAAAAGAATTAAAATCTTCATATTGTGTTACCAATTGTGTTACTAAAAATACTAATTGTATAACAATGGTCGCACTTATATATAAAGATGGGCTTAATGATATCTAAAAGGAATTAGATCGGCTGGATTAATACAGATACGGGGTATACAGATACCCAGAACCATTAAACACGGTCAAGCGTAGGTTGTGTAAATTATAATTTTATAAAAGATTTATTAATAGTTGCCGTGTTACGTACCACCACTTTGTGGAACTACCTGCCTAGAGGTATTTTCGAACCAATTCGACTTAAAGTTTAAACCCCTTAAAGAAACAGCGTATCCTTCATTAAAACTTAATATTTGGCGCCCTGTCCTATAAAATCTTACTTTATCAAGACAATAATTCAAATTTAAAATTCCTAAGAGTAGGTAGTTCGTGTTCTAATTTTTATATGAAATACTAACGAATACAACAAAGTTGTTTTATTCTTTTGAAGATTCAGAAGTTCGGCCTGAAGCTCAAATAATGCACTCAAATACCTAGTACATAGCATTTTATGAAACAAGTGAGAATCTAAAATAGTATAGAAGGTGAAATAACAGCACTTGTCGTTTGATCCACACACATCCCCATTTTATCAAATGGAACCAATCTTTTGGAATACAAAAGTGGGATTGGATAAGCAAAACATTTTAATATACCTATACAGATTTAAAACAACATAATTATTCGAACTTTTAGAAATACTGGCGAGTCGCGGTGACACGAGCGCGCCGTCCACACTCAGCCCCCGCGAACCCTTGTGGAGAGTGTGTATGGGGGCTACCCAACAGGCGTTGACAATCGACCAGATGCGTCATGACAAGTCCATTCCATCAATCACAATCAAACGTCTCACGTCTTTCGCCTGACGTTTCTCACACGCTGTGTATTGTCAAGTAAATTCACTTCACTGAACGTCATCGTCGTGGTTTTTAACCATTTGTATACGGTTTTTAATAATTTGCAATTGAAATTGGATTTGGATTGGAATGGACGAGTATCTCTTGGGATAGGTAGAATAAGCTAATAAGATCAAAACAGTATCAAGCAAATAGTATAATTGTCAACTTTATAAATAGTTATTAAATTAAGCGTTTGCCTGGATCCAACTTGTGTAACGGGACACGAGCGCATTAACACCTGGGTATCTTGGGTGGCCGCAGTCCACGTGGCCCCAAGAGCAGAC